GGTCGTGATGAGGTCTGATTGTGTTTGAGGAGGTTTGTGTTGTTAAAGTGCCTGATATGTTTAGAAATTGAACAATTGGTGGGATGGAAGGTCTTTTTGAAACTGTTTGGGTGCCTCAAAACAGTCGATTTGTTAACAACACACACAGCACACTGGATTGTAGATGATCCTACCGCCAGCCACGTGTGATTGCTAATGTTTGCTGCGTTTTTTGTTTTTCTAAATCACAGATCTGAATATGAAAAATGTTTGAGGTCCTACAGACTCATCATGTTAACCAGAAAAAAATGTTTTCATGATTTTTACAGCTAATCTTTTTTTTTTTTCTTTTTTTTCGGCACATAGATGATTTGAACAGTAATTATACTTGACCGCTCTCCTTGGTCATGATGTTTTCTAAATGGTGCTTTTGGTCTCCTGGTTCCAGACCTCTAAATGCATTTCATTTGGTTTATTTACTAAAGAAAACCTTTACATCGGCTAAAAACATCAAAAATACACTCACTGTTCACCAACCTGGTTTTCCCGATGATGAAATGATCAAACTCAAGGCAGTAGCTTTGATTCTTATTTATTTTTCCCTTTTTTTGGTAAATGTATTTAACAATCTCAAACGAGATTATAAATTTTGTGTTTGAGAAGGATTCGCTGTCCCAGCCTTTGAAATTCAGCTTTTTATTGCTGGTTTCTGTCTCATTTGTTTTCACAAACAAATTTGGATTAGTGCAGCTACAAAGGCCTTATTTTCAGTCATTTGCATGTTTAAAAAAATAAATCAGAAGTCTGTAAACTCTGAGGGCGATGCATCAAATTTCTTTTGTTGGCCCCCAAGAGTCTAAAATCCAAATATGTGTGGTTCATTATCATGTATGATGAAGAACGGTAACGTGTTTTCCTTGAAATATAATGAAATTAAATAAAAATGCACAATGCATCAGCTGCTATTGGCCCTGCTGACTGATCTCAGCAGCTATAATCACTGATGCAGGGCCAGTATTTATCTGGTGCATCCCATCTATTTTGAGCTAGCCAGACATGAAAAATTTATGGAAAGAGCTTTATTTAAAAGAAGAAGAAATAATGACAACAAAAACCAGTATCTGACAAGTTGATATAAATTGGTCCCCAAAATCGACTAATCGTTGCAGTTTGAGTGCCAAGATGACACTTTTCTCAAAAGCAGAGTTATCTTTACGTGTTTGTTGTTTTTCTTCCCCCTGGAGGGTTTTTCCTCTATTTGGAATTGCAGGTGGTGATGTTGACATCTTTATTTGTTTATTTTTCAACTTTTAGTCCGTCATTGACGTCTCTGCACTGCTGTTATTGTTGGACACCCAGCCCCACGCAGGCTGTTGCTCATCTCAAACCTTCAGTTTACTTTAACACACATGAAGCCTTCAGGTTTCATCCCTTGGACCAAACCCATGTGCCTGGTCGGGGTGAGTGCTGACGCTCTCCTTGCCACGTGTCACCAGAATCAGCTGCTATAAGAGGAGTTTTATTTAATATTTCAGCAGATAAACATAAATACTGTATATTTATACACAAAAAGCAAAAAGGATATTTTACTGCACTTAACAGAAATTCACGGGGGAGAGAAGTGCTCGTTAGGTTTCTTTGTTTGGCCGAGGCTGTTTCTTAATGTCAGACATTACCAGCATTTCTTTTAGTTGTTTTTGTTTTGGGGGGGTTGTTTGCTTTTTACTTGAACAATAGCAAAAGTAATGGCGGGCATATTTAACGTTGTTTGCTGGTGCTCTGGTCGTCTCTGTAAGTTGACCTTTAGACAGCCTTATTACAGGAACCCCCTTCTCCACTAGTGATGCCACAGGACTTCAGATGCCTTTTTTTTCCCCTTTTAAAGAAAAAAAACATATTTATATTTACATTTAATAATGAAATGCATGTATTGCTTATTTTTCTAACAAAGTCCTATTTGAAGCAGAAGCCTAATAACTAATAACGTAGAGGTCTGCGATAACTTTCCAAATTTAGGTTTATGTATGTGATCGAGGTTTGTGTTGTCATAGAGCGATCAGATGAATCCTCAGCCCTCCGCACACTGTTTGTGTTATCATCTCAAAAGCTCATCTGAGAAGCTTTAGGACATTGTTTGATTTTTATTCATATACTAAACCTTTTCTTTTGCATATTAATGAGAGGAGGCTTTATTTTTGGGGGGTTGTTTTCCTGTCCGTTACAGACTGTGCCTTTTTCTGATGGTGCTGGAAAAAAAATGTTCAAAGTGTGCTGAGCCCAGAGTCTACATTAATACGTATATATTAATACCTGGAAATACTGTAATGTGTGTGGATACCTCTGACATGTATGCCAAGAACACAAAAATATGCAGAATTTATCCGTTTTGAGCTGACAGGACCAAAAGGCCTGCAGGGATTGGTTTATTGGACGGGCACTCAAGCACAACCTAAAACCAAACATTTTTCAGTAATACAAATCATAACTTGGGCGAGTGGGTTGGGTAAGAAGCACTCATGACTCGTAGGTAACGAATATCTCAGTGTAGACATGATGTAGCATATTTATTTATTTCTGTGAGGCGTACTGCATGTTGTCCTTGGTTGGCGTTTTGTGTGTTCGTTCTTAAATGGACAGCAATAATGAAGCAGCTGTAAAATTTCTGTGCAATCGGTTTGGCCGGCCTTCCTTTTTCTCCGTGTTTGCGTGTCTCTGTCTGAAAACTTCATTTTGTTTTCGAATGTGAAGTTCAGACGTTTACAGACTTGGACAAAGAGCTTTTGTTTCTCCACGAGTGCCCGTCTCCCATGTTAAGGGATTCCCCACAAAATGAATGAATCTGTCTCTGAAGGTTGGCTGCATATCATTCTTGAAGGAAAAAAAAATTTGAGTTTGAAAATGTTTTTTTTTTTTTCTTAATTTATGATATTAATAAGTACAACTGTATGTTAAAGAACTTTTAAAGTTTGTCTTAACACTCACCTGATCCTGGTCCTAAGTTGAGCCTTTTTTCTTTCTTTTTTTTTTTTTTTTTTTTTTTTTTTTAATTTGTCATATTTAATTTTTGGAATAAATACTCTATGTATAAAAGTCGTGTTGCTGTCGTGATTTGAAGAAAGTGTCAGATCCAGTCTTTGTTTCCAAACATCACACTGAGGCTTTTTGCAAAATCTGAGACGCATGAGTCTAAGGAGAGCTACTTCTGTCCTCCTTAGCTTTAAGCTGAGGCTGATTCTCCAATAATGGCTTTACTTCCACCACCTGACTGCTAGACTAAAAACTGAAGGGAGCCCTCGGTCATCAGTGAAACACAAAGTGCTGTTGCATCCAAATATGGATGGACTTGCCCTTTCTTTGTAAATCAAGGTGTTGCTCTTTGCAGAAACATTGCAAATACTATGTTATTATTGTGATGTCGAAAAATGCTGCTGTAAAATAAATCCCATTAGCTGCAGTCCTAGCTAAACTAATAAACTAGCTGAGCTCTTGGTATGCACTAGTATCTTACTACGCAAGTAATTAAGTAGTAATAAAAGCAATCCAGAGCAAATGTTTTCAAAATGTATTTCCAGTTTTCTTTTAAACACGTTAGTATTTTTACAGTGCATTATTCGTGTTTGAGGTATTTCTACATCCATGCAAAAGCCATGTAAGTAGTACTCAAACACACCTGCTTCCAGCATTCAGCCTCACGGCTCGAAATAAACTGTTTGTGCACACTGAGTGCAGTGTATACTTGGATACGATAAAGGGCTATGAGCTGTGTGCATCTCTGCACCTGCGCACGAGTGCGGTGTTCATTATTATTGACAGGAAATAGCCTGAAGTCGGTTATCAGTTACTGTCTGAAGTCTCTGCAGAGCACAAATACACACACTTTATAACTGTGTCACTACATCCATGTTTAATCTGTGTCTACACTTCCGGACCGTCTGTGCTCATAACTTCATATTAGCTCAGCAATGTACAGTCTCTCCGCTTCCTGCCTATATGGTCTAACGTGGGTTTTTTAATTGCTTTATCTCTATAAAACACTTATCTTTAATTAAACAGTGTCCTTGTTGAACTCCGAGTGACATGAGTACAGCACAGTGTATACAGCAGGTGCTCTGAAGGGCCCGTTTCCTGCTACATTTATAGCCAAAAGACAGACGGAGTGCACCTTTAGCCTCTGAGTAAAGATAAACAAAAAGATAATAAGCTTTAACTTTATAACAGTCTGGACCTCCATAGATTACCATTCCACCTGAGCAAATAACTAAAAACAAACAAAACACCTTTTTAGCTATTACTGTATTTAAAGTGTAATGATAAAGAAGTGTTCTTTTTCATCATTAAAATAATAACTTTCATTTTCAAAAGCTGGTCCACAGATCTCAACCAATCCAAAATGGGCTTCCACAGGGCTCCGTCCTTGGCGCACTTATTTTTGCATTTTTCTAATAAGTTATTTCTCCTACTCAATTTTTCAACATTTTATCCACCTAAAAAAAGACAAAACTTCATTTAAAATACATTATCCTCCTTTGGAGAGTTTTGAAACATTTATCAGAGTTTGTTTTCATAGCTTCTTATTTCTTTGGTTGTGTAGTTCTACTAGTTTGGTTTGCAGACTGTGTTTATATCTAATTGTTTTCATTTTCTCAGATCTTAATCACAATAAGACCTGATTCAGGGGGAAAAATAATAATTACTGTGTTTTTAGGAGATAAAACTAATCTACTAAACCAGATTTTTCTTTAGCTCTTATTTAAAGTCCTATTTAAGTTGGTAACGAAATACTATGGTCATTTTAGGACATCAGTTTATAAAATCAACAGTAACACAGTTAACACGCATGACAATACAGAAATTAATTCATATCACTCAAACTCAGCTTTAAATATTTTACCTTAAATAAATTAAACCACTGACACCAACAGGAACTGACTCAGTCTCACAGTGGAACAACATTTCCTGGCTTTTCATTTTGTCCATATCTTTTGTATAAAATAAATACGTTCAAAATTTCTCTAGAACTTTCAAGAAGGTTCCGCTTTCTTGTATTTTTCAGTTTCTGGTTTCTGTTGAGGACGGTGTTGAGTCTCTTCACACCGCAGGATGTGCAGCTTTGCTGTGATGTTCCTGAAGCAGTGCTTTATCATGCTTCTAACGGCTGACGAGGACAAGTAGAAGATAAATGGATCCAGGCAGGCATTTAAGGTGCTGGAAAGCAACGCCACAGTCCTCCACTCCTGATTCTCCTTATTGACAAAGCCTACCACATGGGAGATGTTGTAAGGACCAAAACAGACGCAGAATACGATCAGTGTGCCAAGAGCCAGACCAATGCATCGCAGCCTCCGCCGCCTGCTGATATTAGGGAGACGGGACAGGATAAGGATTAGGTTGACGTAGCAGAAGCAGCAGATGATGAAGGGGATGCAGAAGAGGACGAGGAAGAGCTCGAGGCGGAACGGCAGCAGGATTGCAAGCTCTTTGTCGGAGAAATTCAGGTAGCAGCTAGGTGGAGGTGTGGCGGGAGTGCTGCCATTGGTGTGTCTCCACTGGAGGTAAGGCATGATGTAGACGACGATGAGGTTCAGAGACGTTAGCAACCAGAACATGACACAGGCCAACAACGCATAACGAGGCCGCCGATGGAGGGAATGCCTGATGGGGTGGGCGACCCCTAGGTAACGCTCCACACTCACGGCGGTGAGCAGCAGGGTGCTGTTGTAGATGGTGACATAGAAGAGAAACCCAGTGAAGGGACAGAGGGAGTAGGGCAGCAACCACTCCATGTCATCAAAGGCCTCCTTCATTTTAAAAGGCAGCAAAGCCAGGAAAATCAGGTCGGAGATGGTCAGGTTAAGGAGGAGGATGTCTATCGGGGTTGGCTTGCGATACACCTTGCGGCAGAAGGTACCAAATGCCAGGATGTTGGCGGGAACTCCCATGAGGAAGGTGATAATGTAGACAGAAAGCAACAGATTGTATGCCATGGTGTCTTCTTAGGGACACACTCTCACAGACACTGCAGGGAGGAAGAAAGCAAGTTGTGATCAAGTAGCACCAAAGACTCAGAAACAGCTCATGCTTACATTTTTCTTAACTTTACATCAGAAAGAAAGAAAGCTTAATAGAAAAACAGCTAATATATTTCATCTGCCATAGAGATGTGAATGTTTATATAACTCCATGCATCAATATTAATAAGTCAGTTTATCTTGTTTGCAAAGGAAACAAGTCAGTTCTTGTCTTTTGCATTTGTTTGTTTTTTTAAGCTAAAATGTTTTAAAAATACACAAAAAAAGAAGGTTTTTCAGAAAGTCATCAGCCTGCTCTTTCCTTGCCACTACCAGGTAAAGGCACTGAACTTTGGCTTTAAACACAGAACAAAGCAAGCAGCGGTCACAACAGCACATTATCTTCTCTAAAGCTTCACACGCTCTTTGACATCAGATTCAAACATTTGCAAATAATAATTTCCATAAAAGAAAAGAAAAAAAATCCACAGTGGAATATTCTAACACATCAGTTGATTGCTACCTTACCATCTAGAAAACATTTAAATTTAAAGACGCACAAATTTGTTTTTTCTTATTTAAAAGTAGAACTTCAGAATTACTGTGGTGTATGAAGTGTCAAAGTTTTTTCTGGGAAACAAAAAAAAAAGGAACTGGAGCAACTGGTGAGCTCTCTGCTACAGAGGAACAAAATACTTTTTATTCTTCTTTGCAATCAGAAAGAAACTCCCCAAACTTTCTAACCACACAGACTTTTAAAGCTGACTGTTAAAAAGTAACAAACATCTGAGTCCATTTGGCTCAGATTTACCTGCAACATCTTATTGTCAAAGAAATGGAGAAAGTGGGACAAAATTTCTGCATATAAAGACATCCAGAAATAAAATACGCTCCGTCCGAAGTTAGCTGGAGATAAACTCACCTCACTCAGGCTTTGAAATCCAGCCTCTCCATCACAAAGTGCTCTGTAGTGCTGCAGCTCTCTTCACCTCTTGGAAACAGACTGTTTGATCACATCACAAGACTGCCCCTAATATTGTCATCCTTCTGCGCCTACAGTCTCTCCTTCGCCAGCGGAAATTTAATAAACTTCTGGACATTTCGTTCTCACCATTCTCCAAACATCATCTCCCAGCAACCGCTGAGAAGCTCGGCGCAGCGTAGGTGGAAATGATTAATCAGAACTTCTCGTGTAAAAGGCCAAGGCACTAACAAAGAGAGGAGGACGATTGTTTCCTCTCTCTGCTCTGCTGCGACCAGAGGAGAGAATTTACCTTTTTTTAAAAAGCAAGTTTTTTTTTTTCTATATCAACACATTTTGGCAAAATGCTGCAGTTTTGCAGAGGAAGCTACACTTTCCTTTTCTTCATTTTTTCGTTGTCGGATCCCACAAAAAGATCTGTAAGTGCATTAAACTACAAGATACCTAATTTTGAAATCCAAGTCAAAATAAAAAAGAAGCCGTAAAAGTGCTTCTTTTTGAGCCACCCCTGATTTCTTTAAGTTTTCTTCAAGTTTTATCTTTCAAAGTTTTTCTTTCAGTCCAGTCCTTGTGCCTAACCATTTTCAGAGGGAGGAGTGTTTAGTTTATTTGTGTTTTGTTCTCTTGTTTTCTTTTAACACTGACCTATGAGTCATTCAAGCAGAAGAAGGCACCAAATTCAGGAGATGAACCAGTGTTGTGTTTACACAACTAGTTTTTAATTGTTTCACTAGGGAGCGCTGATCCATTTACTGTTTGCCAAAGCCCCATCAGAAATAGTCTCAGCTCTTAGGCTGCCAGTCTTAAAGGAGGGAAAAGGGGAGAAAAAGCAGAGGTGTGCCAAATTACACAACAACTGGTCTGAAAATCAGTTGAAGCAAGTGCGATAGTGATGAATCCAAATTTTGTACATCGTGTTTCCATTTTATGGCACGATGACTGTCCAAACTCACAACTGTTATCCCAGCTGCTTTTGTGACAAGTAAAAGCAAGCAAACATTTACTGAACCATCCATTTACAAATACATGATTAAGATAAAGCAGCACTATTTCAACAAGGTCTTTTCCAGATTTAGTCTGTTGTCATTACTCTCACAGGGGCTTTAGTGAGAGGACCCCAAAACAGAGAGGAGCAGTTCCAATAAACAAAATAGTAGAGTCCAAGTAGAAGTCTAAAAGCAAGACAAATAAAATCCACACAAGAACACATACACAGCAGAACAGCAGACAACTCTACAAAGGATGGGGGGAGGACTATTTATACACAGACTGTTAATCAGAGAGTGGAAACATCAGGAAAGAAATGAGACATATTTCAGGGTAATCATACAGGAAGAAGGGGTACAAGAGATAAACACTATCAAAACAAAGCAGGAAATAAGGACAAACATATAACATGCATGAACATAACAGAAGAGGTGACACAGAGAGGTATATAATGAGTCCACAAACACACTGAAGACCCATGATGCTCTGGAATAAATGATAAACAAACCCTGAACCATCAATAAAACTACAAACCAAACAGAGAACAGGGATTAACTGTGGGGTCTGTGACAATTACATGTACATTAAAAAAACATGTACAGACTCCAGTAATGACGATGGAATTTAATTCTTAATGAAGCAACTTGGGATAGAACAAATTTCGATCTGATCTGATAACGTTGGAGTTAATTAATGATTTTTCAGCAATCCAGTGAGGTGGGCCAGTTTTGGGCCACGTTTAACACCTGGAGTGTAGCAGAACCAGCTCTGCTTGCAATGTAAAATATAATAAGGTGGGTTTATTAAAAATAATGAAAAATATTTTTTTCTAAAAATATGAAGAGCCTTGTTACTGTTGCCTAACATGAAGCTTGTCAGTCACATTCCTGATTGCATTTCACTTATAACTTCTGCAAAGTTAAAAACAAAAATATGAAACGCATATAATACATGAACAACGGCTGTAAGCTGGTTACACTTTTTAAAATGTTTCTAAAGCCTCACTTTTCTATTCATTTCCAGATTTACCTGAAAGTATGACTTTGAGTCATTTTTGATGTCATATACGGCACCAAAAATTCAATAATAGGGATTAAATAAACATGATAAAGACACAGATGGTTTGGTTTACCTGACGTGATCAGTCTGCTGCCCACTTAGTCCTTCAGCTCCGCTGTGCTCTAACACTGGGTGTGTTTGTGTCTCAACCCCTCCCACCAGCCTCTCTTTTTATATCACTTCAGAGCACATCAAATCTCTAAACAACAAGGATTTATGTGCAGGACAGCGTCAGATGACCCCAGTCTGATGTGCATAAGTGGAAGCTGAACATAATAGGCACATTAAGACCAGATGTGTTTATCATGCGGTGACTCGTATACAGTAGCGCTGAACACGAGCCAAGAGTCCGAGTGTTTATTTGGAAATTTTCCACTAAAACCTTTGCATGCAGGTTATCCAAGAGGAACACAGAAGCTCATCAACACGTGTGTTTTCATTGTGTTTTAGTCTGTATGTTATAATTTTTTATTTTTACTTTGCATTGTTTGTATTTATTTATTTTACTTAATACATATTGGTTGGAAGTCTGTTAATTTATTATTTTTTATTTATTAAACACAAAAGTACAGCATGATTTATAACTGAGATATGTATGTATTACATATCTCTTTATTTAAGTATTATCATATGTGTGTAGTGTATTTACTTAAAGAGTCTATGTTCTTTTAGCATATATATATATATGCAAAACAGGTGTTTCCTGAGACCCAAGCTATTGTTTAGGAAGGATCTTTAATTTCTACTAGCTATTTGGGATTAGTGTTACCTGATTGGTGTAACTCTAAGCATCTTTTTTGAACGTTAATAACATTAGTCATTTTTAATGTCCTCATATGAAGACAACGGGTTTATTTACAGCATCAGACAATAAAGTCACCAAAGTATAGCTTGCCTCCACCAGTGTGTGAATGTGAGAGTGAATGAATAGTGGAATTGTAAAAGCGCTTTGAGGGTCTCGAAAAGCGCTATATGAATGCAATCCATTATTATTATTATTATTATTAATACTTTATTGACCAGGAGGAAGTATAAGGTTCAGGATGAGGACACAGGGTCTCACAAAGGTGACAAACTAAAGAGAAAACTTGACCCTAACACTGTTCTGCTGTGAGGAGTGTAGTTATTCCATTAGAGGGATATGTGTCCTGTGATGAAACTTATCTATTATAATGGAAATCTTTATTCAATCATTATATTTTTACAAAGTTGTTTTGCTCTTTTTAAGACGTCTTCATTAGTCAGTCTGTCAGTGCACGATGACTCACATCTCTGCTGAACTGATGGTGTTCATAGGTTTCTTGTTTAATATCCATGCTTACATGAGGACAGGTATTGTAGGCATCTAGGACTTTCTTTGTTTTCTTAAAGCGAAATGGACTACGATCACTACAAGAGTCTGCCCCCGGATACACTTTACAAGCTTTCACTGAGTCCCTGAACCTTCCTCCGAAGGCAATGTCATCTATTTCCAATGATATAGTGATTTTGCTTTATCTGTCCAATAAGATGCTGACCGCTTTTATTTTGCTGACCTCTCATCTCCAACTTTGTATTAAAGTCACCCGTGATTGATCACAAGTTAGATTTATTATTTTTAATTTTCTGAAAAGACAAACCACACAACACATTTGTAAACACACTGCTTTATTAGTCAAGAGACTCAACTTTTCAGGAACTGATCAATTTATGGACAAACAAAAAAATTATGATGTTCATTTAAATGTAATTAATTTCAGACATCATATTTTTGATAATTAAAGTTTATCAAAAAGCTGTTTAAAACACACACACAGAACACACATCACACACGCCACACACACACACGCCACACACACACAAACTCGTTTTCATATCTTAGTGAGGACATGTTTTTAACATGCTTTCCCCAGACACTTACCCTAACCTTGACCCTTAGACTAAACCTAACCATAATTTAATTGTAACCCTGACACTAAAAACACATTTTGAGCCTCAAAAGTGCCTTCAAACTTGAGGGGAAGGGCACTTTTTCCCAATAAGTGACTATTAGTCCCCACAAATAGTGGGGACTAATAGTCACTTATTGGGAAAAAGGCATATTCTGTCCTCAAAAAGATATCTAAACATGTACACACACACACAGGTGTAACTAATAACATTAAAGATTTGTTTCATGTTGCCGTGCTGATAATTCTGCCACTGAAAATCAAGGCAGCTGTGTTGTGATTAGCTTCACCTGTGAGAAATGTCTTATAATACTGAACACTTTCCAAAACATGACAGATTTTAAAGTGAGCTTTTACAGCTTGAGACACCAGATGGAGCCATTTAAAATCAGCCGATAAACATTCCTCATGAAATCTGAAATAAAATGTTTAAACATACACAGTGTGCCTGGTCAAAAACAATGATTTCACATACTATCCACACATCATTTTAATCCAAAACCAGGATGTTACAAGAATCAGCAAAACATTACATGTGACACAGCAGTACCTTACAGCTGTATTCAGTCTGCAAAATAGGCTTTTACATCATCTCTTTTCTTTAGAAACATTTGGTCTAAACAGGTCGTTAACGCCTGACGACACAAAGCTTTGAAGAAGTCAGTCAGCTCTGAATTAACAGACTTCATGTAGCTGGACAGTCAGTGTGGAGGAGGTTTACTGGGTCTGTTTGCAGAGGTTACTGGTACATGAAGAGTGGTCATATCAGACTAAATGTTTTTGCACCATTTCTTCTTTTGAATTTGTTGCACAGTCTCCTTGTGACACTCTCAGGTCATCTAAGCCCCAGGTTTGCTCCCCTCAGATGGGACAGTTGGTGGTCTAACTTTTGAAGCTTCACTGACGGCTTTACACCGGTACCGAGAACCCCCCCTGTGGCTGAACTGGCTTTGCCGTCCACAGATTCTTCCCAAGATGCCTCTTGACATGACTGGAGATAGCATCAGCATGACCACAGGGTCCAGGAATACGTTACAGGTGCTCGTCAGCATAGCGTACGTCCTCCACTTCACGTTCTCCCCCATCACAAACCCCACGACGTGTGAGGCGTTGTAGGGTGCGTAGCAAACCACAAACACAGCGAGCGTGGACAGCGCAACAGCCAGCACTCTTCTTTTTCCCATGGGGGACAATTTCGAGCGCCACACCAGCGTGACGCAGCGCATCGTGCAAAAAGTTGACACAATCAGAGGCAAAAGAAACAGGGTGATGGCCATCTCCAGGCGGAGTGGCAGCAGCACGGCCAGCTGGGACGCACTAAAAACTTCATAGCAAACTGAGGAGTTATTACCTGTGGAAACAAAAAACCCCCCTTCTCCGACCATCACGCCAGGGCTGAGGTGTAGCACCACCAACAGCCACAAGACAGCGCTGATGATGCAGGAGTTACGAGCACAGCGCCATCTCTTGTAGACAATCGGAAATGCTATGCTGAAGTAACGACCCGCTGTTACAGCAGTGATGAACAGACAGCTGCCATACAGGGACGAGAAGAGGAAAAAGTTGTAGACAAGACACACGGGAGCAGGCAGCCTCCAGTCCTGAAGCAAAGTCTCCAGAGTCTTGACAGGCAGCCAGACTAACAGCCCCAAGTTGGCCAGACACAAGTTGAGGGCATAAACCACGTTGGGTGTGGCACCATGTTTACGAGCCTTGCGCATGTACACAAAGAAGACGAGCAGGTTGGCAGGAAGGCCGAGCAGAAAGGTCAAGATGTAGATGATGAGAGCAATGCAGTCCTTGACAGCCAGCTGCATCTCTTCAGATGAGTTCACTAAACTGGTAGCACCGCCTCCAGTTTACCATGACATAGTTTGAAGGTCGAAGAAAAGTCCTGCCTGGAAATATGCACACTGCTGACCTTTTGTCCTCTCCGCTTATCTACAACGTCTTTAAAACAGCAAAGTCTCCGTTTGGAATTTTTTCCGAGGCCGTAAAGTGGCTGCAGAAGAGCCGGATTTCTCTCGCCATCATGTGCACAAGCAGGTCTGAGGCACAGAGACAGGTGATGCCAAAAAAAAAAAAGAGGTGGTGGCCACAAATGGGAGGATGTGTATGGGCACACAGGGGGGCGAGGTTCATACGACATCATGACAGAGATGCAGATAACAAGACGTACTCACCCATGCAGAAGCTGGGGGGCATTTAGCCGGCACCAGGCCACCTTAATTGCCTTCTCAGTGAAGGGCAACAGACAGTTAGCATCTGGGCCCTTAAGTGAAATGATTCAGAATAATTCAACCTGTCAGGAAGCACATGCCCATCCTCTTAAATTCAAGGCTGTGTAAATGAACTGGAGGGCCAGGCAGTAAAGTCATAAATGTGCTGAAAACCGATGGTTAGTGCGAGCAGAGGATGGGTTGGGCTTTGGGAAATGGTGATTTGTTTGTGACACGAAGGCACTTTGAACAGTTTTATGGTGGACGGTGTTTTCCTTATTGTGGGTGTTCTGTGTGCGCATGTGGGAAAGTGTGTTAGGCGAGGTGGGTGTGTCATGCGGGAGGCTGCTGGTGAAGAAAATGGAGCAGAAAATTCACCTGACAAATTTTTTTTTTCTAAGAATGGAGCTGCCGCCATTCAAAACACAGCTATTAGGTGTTTGATCAGTCTATTGATCCAGTCTTTAAAACCAACGTCTACAGCGTCCAGTCTTCGGATATTTGATCTGAATGTTTGCAATGAACTGACGACACGTTTCCTGTATTGTTAAATGAACGTGACAGTAGCACAGCTTTTATTTACCAGTCTGATTTTGTTTTTCCTTTCAGGCCGTTTCTGTTTGCACTGTCTTGCGTCATTTTCTCCGGTAGCGCTTCCATTTCTGTTATTGGTATTAATGCAGCACCATTACCTATTCGAATGCTCACTATGTTGTAGTTGTGTTGCCAAAATTAACTGCTTGACAAATTTAAAATACTTCAGTTATGCTCTGATGTTTTTCTGAGATATTTCCTGGAAAGAACAGCTTAAAATGGTTCCAATTATTGGGAAAACAGGGGCATCACAGATCATGTCTACATTAAGAAATGGGAAATTTAACACAGCTGTGCAAAAATGGAGAGTTAAGCACTGAAAAGCTAACCAGTAAAGAGTTTATCTGTGTTTAAAATGAACCTTTCTTTCACAGAAAGAACTATTTCTGTGTAATTTGCACCTGGTGCAGTAATCGTGTCCTAGAAAGTAACTTCTTTTTTGTCTCACATGGGAGGGTTTTTTGGTTTTTTAGTGTTATTTTCATACAGTTTTTTCTCTTATCTGAGCAGATCTTACTCACCAAACATCTGTTAAAAACAGCTCACCCGAGATCATCTGGTGACTCATAAAAAGTCAGTGAATGACACAAACACATCCATCTGAAGACTTTACTACAGCGCCGGGTGAGGTTTATTATTTTAGGCAGGCTGTTTACCAGGTTATTTTATCAGAGTCAAAGTTCCCCTCATTATTGCAGCTTTTAAGCTGCCAGCAGCGTCAGTTGATCAAACAGTGTGGCAAAACTAAACAAAGCCATTAAAGCATAAAAGAACCAAACAGACATGAAAACGTGCACTTTCACGTGTGAATTTTGGATAATTATATGATGCCGGATATAGTTTGAAGAGTGAATCTTTATTTTACTCAAAAGACTGTTTAATCCACAATTTAGAGATGATAAATCAATCATTTCTAGCTGGATTATGCTACACAAAAATGCAAATTAACCACACAAAACGGAGGTCAGGAGAATAATTTTACAAGAGGAGAAAAGTTGCAGCTGGAGTAAGTTTGTTTTTTTTCTTCGGGACTACTTTGTGAAGCGAACTGTGCCCAGACATTTACTGAGAGTGTGAGTAGATTTTTGTGTGTCCATTGCTTGTTTATGACTGCAGGGTTAAACAAATTAAACTTAAAATAACTATTCGATTTTTTTCCCTCAAAAACATTCAGACCATCTTCTCACTGAGCCAGCAGCTGCAGGTTGCTCCTCCCACTGGAGTTTGCCAGCGGGACCACGAGCGCCGAGTTTTTATTGTCGGTGCTGGAGGTTGATGTGAGGCGAGCGCGGGTGTTCAGGCTTCGTTGTTCCAGAGACAGAGCTCCCTGTTTTCTGGAAAGATCCTGCAGCATGCGGGAGTGATGCAGCTTCATTTTCTGCAGAGAGTGCCTGAGAGAGGATTACAGCAGCGAGCAGGGATGAATATCAGCTCCGGTGGCATGCATGCTCGAGAAGTTCTTCTGAATTTGGTTTTATGGTTTATCATTACTTTTAAACATCACAAATCCATAAAATGTATTTCTCTTTATATTCAAGATTGTAAGAGTGACAGATATATTTTTATAGTCCTATGTTATTTCAGCGATAACTTGTCTGTTTCTCTTCCATTAGATTGTTTATACACTTCCCAATCTAATAAAAAGCCACATATTCTATAATTGGACCTAATATTTATTTAACTGGACAAGCTTGAGATGTGATGATGCCACACATAGTATGATTTCAATAAGATCTCATATTGGTGATGGGAGAGTCAGACCCTTCTGTCTCCAGCACATCCCTCTGATTCTCAAGGTCTGGACATTGTCATCTTGGAATTTACCTGTGCCATCAGGGAAGAAATTGGTGGAAAAATAGTAAGCTGACCTAATTTTTCGGGCATTTAACGTCATTCAGTTACAACCTGCTGAACTGAAGCAACCTCCAGTCATAACACTTCCTTTACAGGGTTGTGCAGTAGGCACCAGGCTTGATGAGTGCATCACTTCATCCACCTCTCTTCTTACCCTGATGCTCCAACACTCCCAAACAGGGTTGAGAGTATATTACACAAACACATATATGTTTTGTGTAATATATACAATACTTATATATTATTATTATTGTTAATACTACTTAGTTTGGCCACACAAATAAAAAATGAAGACTCACTGAGCTTCAGAAAGCTTCTGCTTCAGAGCTGCGATCGTGGCCTCCAGTTGCTGGACTTCATTAACGAGGCCGTGCTGCACCTGCAAACCATCACGATAAAAGGAGAAAAGACTTCTAATGCAATCAGTGACACATCTGCTGCTATATAACTGATATATACCTCGTCTCTGCACAGGTCCATGTTAGGCCTGTTGGTCCTGGTCTCCAGTCTGGTGTGAGCAAGCTTCAGGTTGGCTGTCTTCGCCTGCAGATCTGCATCCAGCCCGTGGATGTCACTTTCCATTTCTGCCATTTCCTCCTCAGTCTACAGACGGATGTACAGGCAGTGGGAACATGCGATGACAAACTATACTCCCTCACCCTGCTGCTAACAGCTATTATTTATAAGATCTTACAGTTTTTATTTGCCACTCCAGCTCATGTCGTGCCTGCTCTTCAAGGTGATTACGTTTGCGGAGAGCAAACTCTGTGGCTCTGCGTTGAGTCTCCAACTCATTCTGCAGCTACGAAATAAAAAGAAAGAAAGAAATTAACAGCAAATATGCCCCACCTACTCTAAGCAAGATTAGTGGACAATATAAGAAAACCAAAATAAAAATAAATTAATCAAATTAAAGAAATTCTTTAACCATCTGCAGCTCCCCCGGGTGTTCAAACACCAACATGTGAAACAATTTTCTTATTAACATATAAGTAAAACCTTTATCCCATAGATTAAAACTGCCTAGAATATCAATGATTTTTAAATTAAATGTGACATCAGAAGATTTTTTTTAACAAAATAAAAATATAATACACACATTTAATACACAAAGCGCATCTTTGTGATTAATAAATGTGGTAACTACATATCTCCTCTTTAATTTAAGCTTTTAAACATGGATCTATGATGTGTGCATGAAAAGCTTTTAATCATTAAATAAACATTTGTCAAATCTGGAGAACACAGACTGAGCACAGAGAGAGGGTTGCACCAATATTTGTGCACAGTTTAATGAATATTAAAGTCATTAGGTGGTTATCATTTTTTAATTTTTTTTAAATTAAATAAAATACTTGAATAGTACTTGGTCGTATAATAAGTCATATTCAAGAACTCCTACTAGTTGCAAACCACCTACCTGTGCTCGGGTGAGGTTCATATCCTCCCTTATTTGCTGGGAAACCTGCATCGCCTCATGGGCACGAGCCACATTATGCTGGCTGAACTGGACCCACTCCTGGGGGGTGGAGGAGCTACACCAAAGACAGCAGTTATAACAGTAGTAGCTGCTATGAATGATACGGTTTAAATAGACAGCGGTAACCAAGCATCACAAAAATGCATAATACACAATATTACAGTGACACTCAGTAGTTATGGTTTTTTTGTGTAAAAGAACAAATTTTGTATATAAATTTCATGTAAAAAAGTATATATTACAAAAGCTTTATGAAACGTTCTAACACCTTGTTGTGATTTGGCTCTATGTAAATAAAGTTGAATTGAATTTCCATAGTTTAGCAAATGAGGAGTAATATTCAACCAATCTTTTAATTATGAAAATAATTATATCATACACTAGCATTTTATGATCTGCATACTTCATATTTCATGCACACCCTCATCTGAAGATTACCCTGATGGTATGCGAGTCGGGTTGGTCTTTAGGGAGATGTGGGGCGATTTTATCGTAAGTGACAGACAGGACATGTCAATATCCAGAGCATCCATCTTGTTCTGGAGATCAGCAGTCAGCTGGTGCCGCACCTCCTGCAGAATGCTTAGCAACCAGGAAAAAGGGAGGAGCTTAGAAGATGGCTAAAGTCAACATGCATTTTCAGCAGTGAAAAACAGAAACTTACCATAGC